GTCTCTTACAATTACCTGTATAACTAACTATACTGCATACTTTGTTTTTATCATGTGAATTAAAATTACTGTCTGGTGTCACTTGCTTTCAGCCTGAATAGCTTCCTTTAATATTTTTTGTAAGACAGGTCTGCTAGGAACAAATTATCTCAGTTTTTGTTTACCTGAAAATGTCTTTATTTCCCCTCAGATTTTCTTTCAGATCCTTTATTAGGGTGTTGAAATTTTCTCTAGAGACTTTGTATACTTTGAGTGACGTTAGAGTCACCTTTATTTTTAGATTGATTTTTTTTTAAGGGTGCGCCACACGGCGTGCAGGATCTTATTTCCCCAACCAGGGATCAAACCCGTGCCCCTTGCAGTGGGAGTGCGGAGTCTTAACCACTGGACCGCCAGGGAAGTCCCTTGTCTTCATTTTTAAAAGATAGTTTTGCTAGATATAAGATTTTTAGTTCACTTTTTTTTCTCTCATCACTTTGAATATGTCGTCCTACTGCCTTCTAGCATTCACTGTTTCTGATGAAAAGTCAGATGTTTTTTATTGGATTGCCCTTGTACACGGTAAGACACTTGTTTCTCTTGCTGTTTTCAAGACTTTGTCTTTCACAATTTTGACTACAGTGTATCTGGGTGTGGATCTCTTTGAGTTTATCCTACTTGGAATTTATTTAACTTCTTGGATATGTAGATTCATTTAATCAAATTTGTGAAGTTTTCAGCAATGATTTCTTTCAGTATTTTTCTGCTGCTTTCCTCTCCTTTCAGGACTCCCATTGTGAGTTGTGTTTGTTGGTGCACTTGATGGTGTCCCACATTTCTTTGAGGCTCTGTTCACTTTTCTTCATTCTTTTTTCTCTCTGTTCTTCAGTTTGCATAATCCCTATTGATCTGTCTACAAGTTTACTGATTGTTTCTTCCACTTAAATTTCCTGTTGGGGGCCCCTTCAGTGGATTTTTAATTTTGGTTATTATGCTTTTTAAGTCCAGAATTTCCATTTGCTTCTTCTTTGGTAATTCCTGATTCTTCATTGATATTCTGTATTTGATGATGCATGGTAGTTATACCTTTAATTTGTTAAGTGTGGTTTCCCTTAGTTCTTTGAACATATCTATAATAGCAGTTTTCAAGTCTTTGTCTCCAAAGTCCAAAAGGACCCAGGGGGTCCTTTCAAAGGCAGTTACTTGGTGCCTGCTGTTTCTCCTGTATACAGATCACACTGTCCTGTTTCTTTGCATGTTTTGTATTTTTTGTTGCTGAAAACTAGACATTTTAGATAATGTAGCAACTCTGGATACTGACTTTTCTCCCTCCTGCCTCTGGAACTTGTTCCTGTTTGCTGGTTTATTTGTTCAGTGACTTTGCTGGACTAGTTCAGTGAAGCATATTTCCTCCAGTGTGCAGCCTCTGATGTCACTCCTCAGAAGGTGCAGCCTTGAACATGCACACAGCTACCCTCACCCTCCTATCCCCACCTGGGGATGACAGTGGTTATAGCTGGGCTCTCTTTGACTATATCTTTCCCCAGTTTCCCTGTTAAGTTTCTGACTGATCTTCCTCTATTGATATTACATCCAGTTGTTAGTCTCCCCTAATTGTTAGCTGATTGCTTTATTGTTTTTGCCAATCACCGGAGACATAAATGTTCCACAGTCTAATATCATTAACATTGGGCTTCTTTGCAGGGGTAGTTTTTAAAGCTGGCCTTTAAGATTCACTCTGACCGCAGGAAGCCTTTCATAACTCTCTCTTCCCCTGTTTCTCTTTGTTAAACTTCTAGCTTGTCTACCTTTCACCCATTGCTATCATGGAGCTACCAGCCTCCTCTTAATTTCTTGCCATAAAAATCTCCATTGTCTTTGACAGTGCCTGTAGGTTTGAACTTCTCCATGCTATGTTTCACATAAAGTCAGTCCCCTTAGGGAGAGCTGCAAAGCTCTCTGTTCTTACAGCATGCCTCTACCCTAGGCAGAGCCTCTGCACCACTGTTCCAGAGCTGGGGAGCGGGGAGTAGCAGCCTGCCCCTCTCAGAGTGATACCCTGCTATGAGTGGGGTGCTGGGCAAGGGTAGCAGTCCCTGATCTTCTCAGCTTGCCTCTCTTGGCATGGAACCTTTACCCTATGTGAGCTGGGACATAGATGATCAGGGCCCAGTATTCTTGGCCTGTTTCACCTAAGACAGAGCTTCTGCCATACAAGTGGGAACGCGGTGGAGAAATGGAGCCCTGGTCCTCTTGGCCATGCTTGCCTGGGATAGAGCTTCTACAGGACAGGGCTGTGGTGAATGAGGATGCTGGTGGCCTAGCCTTCCCAGGGAGAAACTGCCACCCGAGACTTGAAGCTGAGGGTGGGAGGGGGTCCCATCTTCTTGGCTATACCCATCCAGAGTAGAATTGTCACTCTGGGCTCGAGGGTAGGGGAAGAGCAGGTTATAGCTCAAATACTAGAGTCTCAGTCTTCTTATCAAGATTTACTCGATTTTCTCGAGTAAACGTTTCTCCATTTGCTGTATGTTCTTAAGACAACTTATAGAGACTTTAAATGGTTTTTAAAAAATATGTGTTACCAGTTATGTTTGTTTTTCTGGGGAGGGGATCTGAGGAGCTCAACACACCTGAGGCTAGCTCTAACTTTTTTTATCTTTTTTTTTTTTTTTTTTTTTTTGCGGTACACGGGCCTCTCACTGCTGTGGCCTCTCCCATCACGGAGCACAGGCTCCGGACGCGCAGGCCCAGCGGCCATGGCCCACGGGCCCAGCTGCTCCGCAGCATGTGGGATCCTCCCAGACTGGGGCACGAACCCGTGTCCCCTGCATCAGCAGGCGGACTCCCAACCACTGCGCCACCAGGGAAGCCCCCTAGCTCTAACTTTTTGAAAATAGCAAACTCTATTTCTTCAAGGATTTTTTTTTTTTTTTACCTTCTGGACTTCACTGATTCACACAGCTCTTTTCTCCCTCTTAGTCTGGACTAGGAAATCTTTTACCGTAACTCGACCAATTTCAGGTAGAAGAACAAGCAATTTAACTTCTGAGTGTATAAATGGCATTTAATTTAATTAACTTTAGCAACATGGCTTTCTTGTTATAGATGATGGAGAAATTCGTCTCTAACCTACCAAAACCTTACTTTGCTGGGCAATTTGAACCTGTCTTTGAGAATTTGAAGATATTACTAGAGGGGGAAGGGTCTTTGTTCCTCCCATTCCCCAGTTATCACCAACACACCAAAAATTTTGCTACTTCTCTTTGTAACAGACTGACATTTGTAGTTTGAGGTGTTTAACCCCAATATGTAGTGTCCACGGGGACAGCATCCAGCTGCTGTTTTGTAGCAGGGTAAGTACTCTCATCAAACCTATTATCAGGAATCATGAAACATCAGGAAGCTTAGTGTTAGACAAGGGTTGGCCCACCACCTGTTTTGGGATGACCTGTGAGCTCACATTGGCTTTTACAGTTTTAAGTGCTTGGAAAAAATCAGAAGATGAATACTTCAGGACATATGAAAATATGAAATTCAAATTTGTGCCCATAAATAAAAGTTTTATTGGGACACAGCCATGCTCGTGTTTACATGTTGTCTGCAGCTGCTTTCATGCTGTAACAGCAGAGTCGAGTAGTTGCAGTAGAAATTATATGGCCCACAAAACCAGAAATATTTACCATCTGGCCTTTAACAGAAAAAGTTTGCTGACCGTCTCAAATATGGTTGAGTGGGGCATCACTAGTCATTTTTGCTTAACGAATTATTTTAGGGCCTAAAGACATGTCGTGACAGGACTACAGATGCTCTAGAAGGTACAAAAGAGGGAGATAATTGCAGGACAATTATTTGTATTTTGAATTTAGATAGAAATAAGAATGCCACCTGTCCTTGTGTAAGCAAATCTTATTCAAAAGGAAAACTTTAAAATGTCGGTCACATATTTGTTGCAAGCTAGTTCCCCAATGTGGAAAGTTTTCCCAAGACTTCTGTTTGATCTGAGGTTGTAGCATTCTGACAGTTGTCTCTGTGATGAATGAATTTCTTTTTAATTTAGATGAAACTGTGTTGCTTCTTTGACTTCTCATTCTTGGTGAAAGTGTACTTCCCAAGGTTATGTCTGCATTATGCCAAAATTCCTAGATAACTCCCTTAGTTGAAAAAATTAAAGGGAAGAAGTCAGATGAATTATTTCTGGCACCGTGTAAGTTCTTTAAAACTTAGTGAAGATAAAGGAATTAGAGAGTCTGAAATTTTAACCTAGTTGCTTTTTATGACAGTATAGACAAAATATTGACTATGATAGAAGAATGTCATATAAAAACATATTTTAGTCCACCAAATCTGCTAAAAACTGAGCATGGGCTTAATGCTATTTAAAGGTGGTGTTTATGCTTTACAAAGGATTACAATTTGACTATGAAGTATGATTATTCCATAGAAAAAACATACTGTTTTACTTGAGTATTATTTGACAATATAAAAATTTTTAAACAGATCCTTTTTTTTCAAAACATCTCTGAGAGTAATCACATTTAGTAATATCTGCTTCCAGCAAAACAGTTTTTACTCAACGAAGTTTATAAATAGTTCACCTGTGGTTAAATTATCAAATAACAAGGCTTTTCCACCTATGCTGAAAGAAAGAAAATAAGCCTTTACATTGTAATCCTTGGTTATCATTGGGCTGAAGTTCCCTCTGATTTGGGGGGAGATGTAATGAAATGATGTAATTTCTGAGACTTAAAACCCTAAAATCTTTGCTGATGAAGTTCAGAAACATATACAGATCAGTTCAGCATTTGAAACCAAATTTTTGTCGTATGTCCACGTGTTAGAGCTTGTGAAATTGAGTGGTTTCCTGTTTTGCGTATGATAGATTCATAGTCATATTGTGCAAGTCGTTCATCGTCAGACATTTTCTCCTTTCCTGTCCCACCAAGGTTCCACCTGCCCAAGTCCACAGCTGTGCTTCTGCATCAATTATTTCGTGAAACATTTTTGTTTCTTTTTCCCAGGCATCTAGTGGAAATTATTATTTCATCCCGTACATCATGACACCATGCGCTGATTATTTTTGCTGCGAGAGTGACGCCCAGAGACGTGCCTCGGAGTACATGCAGCCCAACTGGGACACCATCCTGGGTCCGCTGTGTGTGCCCCTGGTGGACAGGTTTACTAGCCTCCTCAAGGACATCCATGTGACCTCATGGTAATTCCCATCAACCGTCAGAACGCTGGGAGCTTTGCCAAAATTTTCCTTTCACGTCCATGGAGGTGATGTAACTTCAAGAGACCTTAGTGCCCAGAGAGTGGGGAACCCCGACCAATTATTTTGAAGTCATCCCTGAATCCAGTGTTCCTTACTGTCTCACTAAGTTGGGCCGTTGAGGTGTAACCGAAAGAGAATAAAACTGGAGATGAGGTCAGGGTTGAGCTTGTGTTTGGCTCCAACTCCCAGTGTGACCTTAACAAATAACTTTTCTGTAGCTGTTTTCTCATCTAGAAAATAAGGAACTTAAGTCACTGATTTTCTTTCATGCTCTTTCAGCTCTGAGATTCTGTGTTTCAAGGTCATTTCTGAACGTGATTTCCTCCCTGCTACCCATCAGCTGTTAAGGTTGTTAAAATGCATCAGCAAAGTCATTCCAACCATAAGTCCTTGTGCTGTAAAAGTGGGGATGTACTGAGTCAAGCTGAAGCCATCCTGACCTCAGCGTGTCCTGTGACCTGTTCTTGGTAGATTTATGTCGGAGAAAGTGTGGAGTAGTGATTCAAGAGTTGACAGGTTTGGGTTTGAATCCTAGCCCAGGCGATTCTTCACAGTGTAGCCTTGGAACAGTTAGCTCACCTCTTTGAGCCTCAGTGCTCAAGAAACCAGTCCTTAAAACATCCCTGTTCTAAAACTTGAAGGCAGAAAAATTATTCTACTTAACCAAAGGATCCAGTTTTTGGGTTTTTTTTCCTTGCCTGTGGCCAATTTAAAGGATTTATTCCTGAAAGTTACGTCTCAAGAAGGATTTGTCCTTCCAAAACAAATGAAAATCCGAAGCACTGGCAGGACTGACTTGAAATGTAAGGGACCACACGTCCCTGTGGCTTGCATTGTGGCTCCCCAAACTGTGGAGCGTTACTACTGTAGGGTTGGTGTGAGGTGCACACTTGTTAACAGCCTGTTCTCTTTTTCTATCCTGTCACCTCTCCTCTGGACACAGAGTTTCTGCTACAGATTGTAATGGGAAAAGAAGACTGGAAACCCAGACATATGTGACCACATGCCAACATAGAAAGCAAATGAGAGACCTTTTGCAGCACATCCCTGGAAAGCCTCTTTCAGTCCCCCCTTGGTAACTATTGTCTTATTGCACAGTGAACATTTTAGTGAAGCTCAGGGAGAGAACTCTCTCAGTATCATCTTTTCAGGTCTGACAAGGAAGTAGGCTAGCTTGAGTCTCCTAGATGAGCAAGGTCTTTGCAAGAAGTCTATTCAAGTTTGTTTCTCATTCACTTCATGTATGTTTCAGGAGGAAAACAACTCTTTTGATTTGGTTTAATTTCAGAGAACTTGAAATACCTTTTAGTTGATTCCACTCCTTGAACTACCAGATACCTGGCAAGGGTTAGTGAGAGGGTAAATGGTGCTTATGGTTTAAAACATCTGTAACAGGGGTGGCAGATAAATTTTCAGCTCAAATGCCAACTTTGATAGATTGATGAAGGCTACCCAGAGCCCTGTGAGGAAAAGGGGTTTGAAGCTATTTCTTTTTTTTTTAATCTTTTTAAAAATTAATTAATTTAGTTATTTATTTTTGGCTGCATTGGGTCTTTGTTGCTGTGCATGGGCTTTCTCTTGTCGCGGCAAGCGGGGGCTACTTTTCATTGCAGTGTGCGGGCTTCTCATTGCAGTGGCTTCTCTTGTTGTGGAGCATGGGCTCTAGGCACGCGGGCTTCAGTAGTTGTGGTGTGAGGGCTCAGTAGTTGTGGTGGGCAGGCTTAGTTGATCCGTGGCATGTGGGATCTTCCAAGACCAGGGCTCGAACCCGTGTCCCCTGCATTGGCAGGCAGATTATTAACCACTGCACCACCAGGGAAGTCCCTGAAGCCATTTCTAAGTCCACATTGATGAGCAGCATCTTCCCTGGTTACCAGAGGCAGAAATGGCTGCAAATTTATTACATATATGATGTCTCCAAGCCATACTTAATTCAGTGTTTTGTTCATTTACTTACAAGTTACCATTCTTACTAGGTTTCCTAGTTTATTAAAACTATTTTTCAGAATTACCCTTGAAAACAAGTCTAAACTAAAGTATAAATTTTTACTTGTCAGGCTGAACTAATAATACTTTAACAGCTTTGATGCCTTTATAGTCCAGCAAATGGACAATGGCTGTCACCCAACTTACTGACTCATTTGATTAATCATAGAATTTTAAACATTAGTAGAATCTGCTAATTTGCTTATCATTGGGGTAACAAGCAATAGACAAATAAGGAAATAAAAATTAAAGCAATGCACTGATAATTTTATCAGAGCACTTTCTGTGGGACATCACTTAATTCCTGAAATGTTCATTGAGACCTTATTATAAGCATTGGACCAGGCTGTGTACGGTAAACACTTTTTTTGACATAGTTTTATAACTATTAAAAGTGACATTTGTTAGGTGTTGTTTTTCATTCTCTGAAGAGTGTTACTTACTGAACCTATTCTTTTTAATAAACAGCCTAATTTTACTGTCTCCAGTTAAAACATTTCAGCTGCTTAATGGGTTGACAGTATTACAGCTTGGCAATGCCCAGTCTCCATAAAAAAAAATTACTTGGAGTGTAGACAACATATTTAAGTCAATCTATGGTCATTGTAAGTTGGCCTCTGTATACCGAATTCGGTCATTTTTAAAGATTTTAAACCAAATACCAGATACTAGCATTGGTTTTTGAGGGGCTATGGTGAGACATTCCAGTGTGGAATTAAACTGCTCGAAATGTTGTCATACATCCCTATTATTATCTAGACACCCACATGAAGGAAGTTTTACATCTTATATTTGCTTACAGAAAAGACTCTGGCTGTCAAAAATGACAAGGGGAGTAGGGGGTAAAAGGCCGAGGTTGCTCGTAAGCGTCCAGGCACGGCTTCTTGGAATGCTCGTGGACACATCCAGGTTCTGGCTCTCGACCAGCTGCAGAAAGCTTTGTGATTACTAGCTGGGGACACCTGATAGATACATTTTAAAGAAGTTCTCATTTTACTCTGTTTCGTGGCTTTGGAGTTTTGTTCAGCTTTGTGAAAAATCTCTTAATCGTGGGGGAAATTACTATTCAAGTAAGGTACTTTCTTGTCTTCTTTGTGTTTGAAAATACCAGAGAGAGGGGGATGGGCTGGGGTGGGTAGCAAGTCCTGTGGGTCATCCAGATACATATGGGGTCAAGTTTGAAAATATTTTCAAGGTCATAATGAACTGATATTTCTTTGTTACTGTTTAGTGGTGAGTTTTTGCAGAATGTCACTCACAAGTAGGACGTGTCTCCTGTTTGGGGATGCAGGGAGTCTGAGGTCTGGGCGAGACCCCCATGTGTTAGCCTAAGTCCTGTCAACGAGAACCAAGTTTGTTTGAGCTGCTAAGGGCAACACAGTCCTGGATGCACATTGATGCGACTAGAGGTTTTCTTGTTTTCCTCTCCAGTGCTTATTACAAAGAAACCTTGTTAAATGACATCCGGAGAGCCAGAGAGAAATACCGGGGTGACGCACTGGCAAAGGAGCTGGCTCGCATCAAGCTCCGCATGGACAATACCGAGGTTCTGACCTCAGACATCGTCATTAATTTACTGCTGTCCTATCGTGATATCCAGGTATGAAATATGCTTGTCTGAGACTATCACACTTCTTCCTTGACATGAGGAATTTCTCATATGAAGTACTCTTACACTAGGTGTATGGTTAGGTAACTGTTTTACAGACAAAATAGGGATGTGGCTAGGTCATAGGTCACCTCGCATATCTGTTGTGGTGGAAATATTGAAGAAGGCCACTCCAGCAAGATCTCAGAAACAGTACTGCTTAATAAAAGGAATTAGAACTGAACAGTTTATATGCACTTTGTGTTAGACGTTGTTCCAAGCCCTTTGCAAGTCCTAATTCACTTAATTCTCTTCATAAGCCTATGGGGTATACACTTGGATTATCTCCATTTTACAAATGAGGAACATGAAGTACAGAGAAGTTAAGTAACTTGCCTAAGGTCACACAGCAGTTGGCAAAGTCAAGGTTCAAACTGAGGCAACCGGCTCTGTCCTCTTTGCTCTTAACTCCTCTGCTACTTCCTTTAGGCCTTTGTCACTTCATTCTTTGTTTACCACTACCTATTAGTGGAAGGGACAGCAGGAGTAGGAGAGGCAAGTCCAGGACCCAGGGAATGCCGGGGTTTTTTCTAAGACAGGTGACAGAGGCTTCTGGAGAGTTCTTGAGACAGGGTTTGTAGAATATGGTACCATGGAGGAAATCAGTCGTTTCCTCCCTCCAAGTTTAATGCTGTGGAGCCATTTCTAAGGATGTCTTGCCTTCCTTTCCTTTGGAGGAACACAGGGCGATGTACGTAATCTGCAGAACTCTACAAAGCCATATTGGAGGTTGTTGGCCACGGGTCTTCAAATCTGAACGAGAGAGGCTTCCATTTACAACCTGAACCAAGAACAGAGTCAACCACTTAAGGAACTCGTGCCCCTGGTGATAAACAGATGCATCTAATTGATTTTAATAGCAGATGCTATTAGGAATTATGATGGTTAAATTATGCCCCATGGAACAAGAGAATGGGAATGACCTTTTTTGAAGTTTTTCTTCTGTTGAGTTGCTGGCTTCCTTCTGCCCTTGCTTTCACGCATCTCTCCTCTTTATAACCTTCCGTTGGTGGGACTCTTGGGCTCAAGGGTGAGCTAGAAGCTTCTTGCAATACTCTGCCTTCCCTATCCCTGGGTAGCAGCATTGAGGTGTAAAGCCACAAAACAGACGTGAGATTTCAGTGGGAAGTCCTCATCTGCTAACTGTGGCTGGCTGTCAGCGAGTTGGCCCGGAACGATTGTAAGCCCGACTGAAATGGTAGCAGATGGCACTGCTCAGAGGGGACACAGCTCAGACAAACACAGTAGCAATTTCTCCCTGGGTAATTATTGCAGTTTAGAGCTGTGGTTCTCAAGCGGGGGACACGTGGCAGTATCTGGAGACATACTTGGTTGTCACAACTCGAGGAGGGAGGGGGAAGTGCTCCTGGCATCTAGTGGGTCAAGGCCATAGATGCCACTTAACATCCCACGATACACAGCAGAGCCCCCACCATAAAGAATGATCCAGCCCCCAAATGTCAGTAGTGCCAAGGTTGAGAAATTCTGGTTTAGATGAATGTGATTGTTTCTGACAAAATAGGAAGGATTGGGGTGTTCCCCCCCTTTACATGGCAAATAACTGTAAGATTTCGTACATGTTTATGTCCCGTTCATTTTAACCCACAGCCCTGCTGGTGTTAACTCTCCTCCACTCAAAACGTGGTAGCTTTTCCTGGCTGCTGGGCTCATTTGTTTTGTTTTATCGTCTTTGAATCTAACTTCCTTTCCTCGGTCCTTTTGTGACCTCTGATAGCAGGGATTCTTTCTCTGTCTTCTCTCTCATCCACCTTGTTGTTTTTAATCTCACTGCTATTCTTTTAAGGGCTTTAACGTCACTAAATGTTGCCTGTAGGGAAAGGCTTGTATTTAAATGCTGAAGCGGTCTCATGTTCGTAACTGTTCAGAAAAACCTGCAAAGAGCTGTGTTTCCTGCCTTTCTCACCTTGAGACCTCTTGCCAACAGGACTATGATGCAATGGTGAAGCTGGTAGAAACACTGGAAATGCTGCCGACGTGTGATTTGGCTGACCAGCATAACATTAAGTTCCACTATGCATTTGCACTGAATAGGTAAGAGTGATAATGTGCGTATAGAGTTTTGAAATATGCCAGCTGTTAAATTGTCTCCTTCTTTCATTCAGCCCTCATTGAGTATGAGCCAGATCATGAGCTGAGTGCTAAAGTTAAGAAAATGGACAAGGCATGATCTTAACCTTCAGGGACTTTGTCTTTGGAACATATATTCTAGCTCTGAGATCAGACATGTAACTAAATACATACAGCTCAGAATGATAAATATCTTAATGAATATCAAAGCATAATAGAGGGAGGAAGGCATTTTGCTTTGGGGTTTTAAAGAAGCTTCTCTGGGGTCTTTGGGGCTGGGTTTTTTTCCCCCAACATCTTTATTGGAGTATAATTGCTCTACAGTGGTGCGTGAGCTTCTGCTGTATAACAAAGTGAATCAGCCATAGTTACACACATATCCCCATATCTCCTCCCTCTTGCGTCTCCCTCCCACCCACCCTATCCCATCCCTCTAGGTGGTCACAAAGCACCTAGCTGATCTCCCTGTGCTATGCAGCTGCTTCCCACCAGCCATGCATTCTACATTTGGTAGTGTATATAACTTCATGCCACTCTCTCACCTTGTCCCAGCTTACCCTTCCCCCTCCCCGTGTCCTCAAGTCCAGTCTCCACGTCTGCGTCTTTATTCGTGTCCTGCTCCTAGGTTCTTCAGAACCATTTTTTTTAGATTCCATATATATGTGTTAGCATACGGTATTTGTTTTTCTCTTTCTGACTTACTTCACTCTGTAGGACAGATTCTAGGTCCATCCACCTCACTACAAATAACTCAATTTCGTTTCCTTTTATGGCTGAGTAATATTCCATTGTATATATGTGCCACATCTTCTTTATCCATTCATCAGTCAGTGGACACTTAGGTTGCTTCCATGTCCTGCCTATTGTAAATAGTGCTGCAATGAACATAGTGGTACATGACTCTTTTTGAATTATGGTTTTCTCAGGGTAAAGGCCCAGTAGTGGGATTGCTGGGTCATATGGTAGTTCTATTTTTTGTTTTTTAACGAACCTCCATACTGTTCTCCATAGTGGCTGTATCAGTTTACATCCCACCAACAGTGCAAGAGGGTTGCCTTTTCTCCACACTCTCTCCAGCATTTATTGTTTGTAGACGTTTTGATAATGGCCATTCTGACTGGTGTGAGGTGATACCTCATTGTAGTTTTGATTTGCATTTCTCTAATGATTAGTGATGTTGAACATCCTTTCATGTGTTTGTTGGCAATCTGTATATCTTCTCTGGAGAAATGTCTATTTAGGTCTTCTGCCCATTTGGGGATTGGGTGGTTTATTTTTTTGATATTGAGCTGCATGTGCTGCTTGTATATTTTGGAGATTAATCCTTTGTCAGTTGCTTCATTTGCAAATATTTTCTCCCATTCTGAGGGTTGTCTTTTCGTCTTGTTTATGGTTTCCTTTGCTGTGCAGAAAGCTTTGAAGTTTCATTAGGTCCCATGTGTTTATTTTTGTTTTTATTTCCCTTTCTCTAGGAGGTGGGTCAAAAAGGATCTAGCTGTGATTTATGTCATAGAGTGTTCTGCCTATGTTTTCCTCTAAGAGTTTTATAGTGTCCGGTCTTACATTTAGGCCTTTAATCCGTTTTGAATTTATTTTTGTGGATGGTGTTAGTAAGTGTTCTAATTTCAGTCTTTTACATGTAGCTGTCCAGTTTTCCCAACACCACTTATTTAAGAGGCTGTCTTTTCTCCTTTGTATATTCTTGCCTCCTTTGTCAAAGATAAGGTGACCATATGTGCGTGGGTTTATCTCTGGGCTTTCTGTCCTGTTCAATGGATCTGTATTTCTGTTTTTGTGCCAGTATCATACTGTCTTGATTACTGTAGCTTTGTAGTATAGTCTGAAGTCCAGGAGCCTGATTCCTCCAGCTCCATTTTTCCTTCTCAAGATTGCTTTGACTATTCGGGGTCTTTTGTGTTTCCATACAAATTGTGAAATTTTTTGTTCTAGTTCTGTGAAAAATGCCATTGGTAGTTTGATAGGGATTGCATTGAATCTGTAGATTGCTTTGGGTAGTAAAGTCATTTTCACAATGTTGGTAATTCCAATCCAAGAACATGGTATATCTCTCCATCTATTTGTATCATCTTTAATTTCTTTCATCAGTTTCTTATAATTTTCTCCCCACAGGTCTTTTGTCTCCTTAGGTAGGTTTATTCCTAGGTATTTTATTTTTTGCAATGGTAAATGGGAGTGTTGCCTTAATTTCTCTTTCAGATTTTTCATCATTAGTGTATAGAATGCAAGAGATTTCTGTGCATTAATTTTGTATCCTGCTAGTCTACCAAATTCATTGATTAGCTCTAGTCGTTTTCTGGTAGCATCTTTAGGATTCTCTGTGTATCATATCAAGTCATCTGCAAACAGTGACAGTTTTACTTCTTCTTTTCCAATTTGGATTCCTTTTATTTATTTTTCTTCTCTGTTTGCTGTGGCCAAAACTTCCAAAACTATGCTGAATAATAGTGGTGAGAGTGGGCAACCTTGTCTTGTTCCTGATCTTAGTGGAAATGGTTTCAGTTTTTCACCATTGAGAACGATGTTGGCTGTGGGTTTGTCATATATGGCCTTTATTATGTTGAGGTAAGTTCCCTCTATGCCTGCTTTCTGGAGGGTTTTATCATATGTGGGTGTTGAATTTTGTCAAAAGCTTTTTCTGCATCTATTGAGATGATCATATGGTTTTTCTACTCCAGTTTGTTAACATGGTTTATCACATTAATGGATTTGCGTTTATTGAAGAATCCTTGCATTCCTGGGGTAAAACCCACTTGATCATGGTGTATGATCCTTTTAATGTGCTGTTGGATTCTGTTCGCTAGTATTTTGTTGAGGATATTTGCATCTATGTTCATCAGTGATCTTGGCCTGTAGTTTTCATTTTTTGTGACATCATTGTCTGGTTTTGGTATGAGGGTGATGGTGGCCTCATAGAATGAGTTTGGCAGTGTTCCTCCCTCTGCTATATTTTGGAAGAGTTTGAGAAGGATAGGTGTTAGCTCTTCTCTAAATGTTTGATAGAATTCACCTGTGAAGCCATCGGGTCCTGGGGTTTTGTTTGTTGGAAGGTTTTTAATCACAGTTTCAATTTCAATGCTTCTGACTGGTCTGTTCATATTTTCTGATTCTTCCTGGTTCAGTCTCAGAAGGTTGTGCTTTTCTAAGAGTTTGTCCATTTTTTCCAGGTAGTCCATTTTATTGGCATATAGTTGCTTGTAGTAATCTCTCATGATCCTTTGTATTTTTGCAGTGTCGGTTGTTACTTCTCCTTTTTCATTTCTAATTCTATTGATTTGAGTCTTCTCCCTTTTTTTCTTGATGAGTCTGGCTAATGGTTTATCAATTTTGTTTATCTTCTCAAAGAACCAGCTTTTAATTTTATTGATCTTTGCCATCATTTCCTTCATTTGTTTTTCATTTATTTCTGATCTAATCTTTATGATTTCTTTCCTTCTGCTAACTTTGTGTTTCTTTTGTTCTTCTTTCTCTGATTTCTTTAGGTGTAAGGTTACTTATTTATTTGAGATGTTTCTTGTTTCTTAAGGTAGGATTGTATTGCTATAAACTTCCCTCTTAGAACTGCTTTTGCTGTCTCCCATAGGTTTTGGGTCATCGTGTTTTCATTGTCATTTGTTTCTAGGCATTTTTTGATTTCCTTTTTGATTTCTTCAGTGATCTCTTGTTCATTTAGTAGCGTATTTTTTAGCCTCCATATGTTTGTGTTTTTTTACACTTTTTTTCCTGTAATTGATATCTAGTCTTATAGCATTGTGGTTGGAAAAGATACTTGATATGATTTCAATTTTCTTAAATTTACCAAAGCTTGATTTGTGACCCAGGATATGGTCTGTCCTGGAGAATGTTCCATGAGTAGTTGAGAAGAAAGTGTATTCTGTTGTTTTTGGATGTAATGTCCTATAAATATCAATTAAGTCCACCTTGTTTAATGTATCATTTAAAGCTTGTGTTTCCTTATTTATTTTCATTTTGGATGATCTGTCCATTGGTGAAAGTGGGGTGTTAGAGTCCCCTACTATTACTGTGTTCCTGTCGATTTCCACTTTTATGGCTGTTAGCATTTGCCTTAAGTATTGAGGTGCTCCTATGTTGGGTGCATCAATATTTACAATTCTTATATCTTCTTGGATTGATCCCTTGATCATTATGTAGTGTCCTTCTTTGTCTCTTGTAATAGTCTTTAAAGTCTGTTTTGTCTGATATGAGAATTGCTACTCCAGCTTTCTTTTGATTTCCATTTGAATGGAATATCTTTTTCCATCCCCTCACTTTCAGTCTGTATGTGTCCCTAGGTCTGAAGTGGGTCTCTTGTAGACAGCACATATACGGGTCTTGTTTTTGTATCCATTTAGCCAGTCTGTGTCTTTTGGTTAGAGCATTTAATCCATTTACATTTAAGGTAATTGTCGATATGTTCCTATGACCATTTTCTTAATTGTTTTGGGTTTGTTATTGTAGGTCTTTTCCTTCTCTTGTGTTTCCTGCCTAGAGAACTTCCTTTAGCATTTGTTGTAAAGCTGGTTTAGTGGGGATGAATTCTCTAAACTTTCGCTTGTCTGTAAAGGTTTTAATTTCTCTGTCAAATCTGAATGAGATCCTTGCTGGGTAGAGTTATCTTGGTTGTAGGTTTTTCCCTTTCATCACTTTAAGAATGTTCTGTCACTCCCTTCTGGCTTGCAGAGTTTCTGTTGAAAGATCAGCTGTTAACATTATGGGGATTCCCCTGTATGTTATTTGTTGCTTTTTGTTGCTGCTTTTAATATTTTTTCTTTTTATTTAATTATTATTATTTAAAATTTATTTTTGGCTGCGTTGGGTCTTCATTGCTGCATGCAGGCTTTCTCTAGTTGCTCCAAGCGGGGCCTACACTTCGTTGCTGTGCGTGGGCTTCTCATTGTTGTGGCTTCTCTTGTTGTGGAGCACGGGCTCTAGGCACGCGGGCTTCA